CACAAGGGTCAAACCCCATAGGTTATTACTTTCCGTTGATCTAGAATCATGAAATTTGGTAAGAAGTTAATGTCTAGTAGCATAAGCAAAGGGAAATTATACGTTTTAAGATTGATTTTTGGGGAAAAGCGGGAAAAATCTCGATTCCATTGGCGAACAAACTATTTACATACCAACAAATATGTACGAAACTCTGTGTGTGTTTGATTGACATTTGGTCAGGTTTTTTGTAACAGGCCAGGCGCCTTCACCAATTTTTACATATTTTTTAATTGTATTTTTTGATGATACAATTTTATAATTCTATTGTATTTCTTAAATGTACGTAACTGTACATCATCCGACTATTATGTAGAAAACTTTTTTACTTACAAAAAACATTTTTTTATAAAACGCCTTGCACCTCCACCATTTATGATAATTTCCCAGTTATTTTACAATATTGCAATGTCCATTTGTACATCATCCTAAGTCATACATATACCAAAAAAATATTTTATTATTTCTGGGTGAGTAAGTTTGCTTTTTCCTTTATTCCATTTTATTTAAAGCTATCTCTAACTTCTCCTTGTTAGAAGCCAATACTGCTATATCGTCTGCAAATCTAAGCATACTAATATTTTGCCTCTGTATATCTATCCCGACAGTTGTACTGTCTTTAGTGATGTTGATCGCGTCTTCGATGTATAGATTAAAAAGTAGCGGTGACAGTGTGCATCCCTGTCTGACTCCCTTCCTAATATTTACTTCTCTACGTTGCACCCCATCTCTATAACTGCCTGTTGCTCTTTATACAAACTAAGTATCACTCTTCTATCTTTGTAACTCATCCCTAAATTTTTAGTATATTTAACATCTTGTCCCATTTAACATTGTCAAAAGCTTTTTCTAAATCTACAAATCCTATGTACGCACTCTTTCCTTTTTCTATCGTTTTCGCTATTGTTACCCGTAAAGCTATAATGGCCTCCAGCGTTCCTCTATTTTGCTTATAAACCCAAATTGATCTTCCCCTACTAGCTCTTCCGCCCTTTTAATTACTGTAATAAGCAGTAAATATTATCATAAAAAAAATTTATACGATTTTTCTTTTATAAATAAATACATTTTTTAAAGTCCATATAACTTTGTTTTCTAAAATTAATGATTTTATTTAAAAAAAAATCAGGTTAATTAAAATCGTGATGTTAATCAACTGATTTAAATCTCCTCAACCCTACTAATACACCTTCATTGTTATTCCTATTATTTTTCTACCTTTCTGATAATGTAAACCCTTTCAACCTTCTTTGTCTCACAATTTCCCACTGTTGCTGTTTTTTTTTGTTACTGCGACCTATACGGTATAAAAAATTGCAGTCCCGTTGTCACGTAGAGCAAATATCAGGAATTTCCCGTTTTTCTTCCTGTTTGTAAGTAATATGCTACATCTGAACGAACGAAATGCGTTTAACGAGTCAAACGTTGAGCATTTACGTTATGAATAATAAGTGAAAAGATTAAAAGCAATTCTTGTAGATTCAAGATGCTGTAGTGTGTAGTAGATCTCCAGAAGAAGGGTGAGGCGGGGGCGAGTGGGAGTGCTGTTAAGTTACGTCTGTTCTAAATGAACCCGAGTTTCAAAAGTCTTTCTTTTGATTCAGTGCTTGCTTGAACAGATTTAATTTTGCTCTCGGAGTTACTCCTTATTGTATCTACTGTATATTTACCTTACAACCGTTTGCATTTTACTTTCCTAGTTTGTTATTTATCAGACTGTGCGCCAGTAGTGATTTTATAAATAATTGAAGTTAGAGGAAGGGAAGAGACAGAGAGAAAGAGAGGAAGAAAAGGGAGAGATCTACGGCAATAAAGAATTTGCGAGTAAATACGTCACCTATGTCGAAGGAAAAGGAGTCGAGTTTAACGTTGATATTTCGCTTTGAATGCGGAGAATGCATCGTCTCTTTGAGAAGATTTATTTCGTTTTGCTGTGGAAACGTTATCGCAAATTGGGCGAATGAAATACCACTAGAAGCTTTAAAATTATTGTACAGTACGGAATAAAACATACGCGAATATTACCTGATTTTCGCTGTTCTTTTGTTTTAAATATGTGGAAAGTATTACCTATTAGTTCCTAAATAACAAGTAAATTAACAATAAAAATTCCGATAGATTCTGCGGTTTTTATTTAAAAAAATCGGTTGTCTGTAAAGTCGGTTTACTGACGATAGTTGAACGTGACAACGTCATAAGAAAATACTGATGGAATGGTTTCATTTTTCAAAAGAAAATTTTAATTTTATTTGTTTGATAGATATTTTGTATGGATATAGAGAAGGAGGTAAATGGAAATGTATTATTGTATAGCAGCTGTCCACGCGGACGCATCGCTCACTCAAGTAGGAGAGAGACAGATGTCGAACGCTGCCGAACGCGGAGGCCGATTGTGCCTCTTTGTCGCTCGTTCCGCGTTCTCGCTTGCACTTCAAGCCTTAAATGGAACGCCTCAGAGCGAGGTAACGCCGCATGAGTCATGTTTTTTCGTGCGTGCAGCCGGCTCCATCGAATTATAAGACGTTGTCACGTCAAAAAGAAATACGAATTTATTTATAATTATTTCCACTACAAATAAATCGAAAAACTTGATAAGTTTAGGATAATAGGCATTTATATAATTAGGTTTGACAAAATTGCAAAAGTGCTTTTCGAGCTTCATGAATTCGGGCCGATTCAATCAGGAAATTTAGCCGACTGTAATGATTGTTAAGGAAAAAGGCTTAGGGGATGTCACATCTCTTACACCCCTGCTTCGGCACATCGTTGAATGGTGCCCATACTTATTCGAAATAAATTAAATAAGTACATTACAGTAAATGTATGAACAGAAAGGAAAGAAAAATGCGAATAACGTAAACATTAGTCGATAAATAATTAAAATCGCGTAGAATCGACATGCGCACCAGGAGTGATTATTGCGAAAATCCAAACTTCCGCCCCGCATGAAGTAAATTTGTCTGTAAGCAACACCCTAATGTGGAAAAAGTTAGGCTATGCGACACCACCAAAAAAAAAAAAACCACTCACAGCTGAAAATCAGTTTCAAGCAAGGCTTGCGCTCGCTGCAAATGATAAGGGTGCAGCAAGTGTTATTTTAAAATTTGTCACACTGTCATATGAGAGGAGCCAACGTCCTCTGCTATTTCGTGTGTACTACTTTGGGATTATCTTCTTTGAATTCCAGGATTTCATTCATACAGCGGCGATATAGTTCAAACCCGTAAATACGTTTCATGTCGCATTATTTTATAACAACAACTGTTCTACAGTGACAAACTGACCTACTCTATCGATTGATGTTCTATTGCTGAATTAGTTTATTTAACTGCACTTCGATTGCTTTATACAGAGTTTAAACCTCCTGCAAGCTCGGCACTTATTTCTGTTACACCCTGTATAATAAATACCGAAAAAGTGTAACAAAAGTTTGGATGCTTGCGTATTAATATAATAATAATAATAAAAGTTATTTGTGTTTGGTAGTAACTGTGCAGATATACCTACAGGTTACGCCGTATACAATATAATATGCTTTAAAATAGGAAAAGTAATATGCCATAAAGCTCCAACATATACTTATCCCGCGAGATTCCTGGAGTCCCGGGATAAACAGTAAAGCCCATAACATAAAACTTCTGTATCTTCGCGTAGGCCTACCACCACCACCCTTTTTAATAAAGTCATGCGAATAAGGCAGGAAAGGTATTTGGTCGACTGCTACTTCTTTGTCAAAAAAAATAAGAGAAGGCAGAGCGCGTAAGAAATGATCTTTTAAAAACCTTTTTACCGATTTTTTATTACGGAACCCGACGACTTCCGTCCGCCGTCGCTCTTCTCTTTCTCTCACGCTCATTCTTCCCCTCTCCTGGTCTATTTGCTCTTTTCCCTATTCCCCTCCCGTTTTTTCTTGTTCCCGCATAAGGCATGACGTTAACTTGTAACATTTTCGACTGTCGCAGTCTTTATTAAAAAAGTTTATTCCGTTGGCCCGCTGAACACTGTTTAATGTTACTGGAACGATAACTGGCGTCTGCAGGACGTTGAGCAGAAGTCCGCCCCAGGGATTATCAGGAAGAAAATAATTCGGCGCAAAAGAACAGAATTCAGCGAAATTAACTACTCTTAAATACCTACCTGCTTCTGTTTTACTTCTTGTAACTTCTCAGGCCTGTAAACAACTTCTTGTGGATTTATGTCAATATTTGAGGCAAATAAGCCAATTGTTGGGTTGATTTGGTCCTGAAGTTTTGAATTTAATGTAACTAATAGTCCATCTAAACAAATGAGACAGATAAATGTTTTTTATCAATTATTGTATATTTGTCGTATTGCAGAATCAAAGCTAAAGTAGGGTAATGTATTATTTTTTATTGATAAAACAACCCTTTTGCCTTTAATGACAAGTCACTATCAAGGTGAGCTTTACAAGGTAGAAGTTTAATTGTAAATTTAAAAACATCAGGGAAGAATAATAGAAAAGTGTATATTTATCTTTGGCCTTTGATTTCACGTTTTGCATTCGAAATTTGACCAAGAACAAATAATTTAATAAATAATAACAACCTCGCATATATGACAATGTATGACAGAAAATTTCAGCATTTAAGACAATTATTGTGTCGGGAAATAGAAAAATTTATGTTTAGAAGAATTATTAAAAAACATAAATATCAGATGAAATGAGCAAGAACAGGACATGACACGCAAGACGGAGACCAAGACTGAGACTATATCAGCAAGACCAAAACTAGACGTATTTGAACAAGATCAAGACGAAGGTCGAATAAGGAACCGTTTTGTTAATGTTATGATCAAAAAATATTTGTAGTACTTGAGGAATATACATCCTACAATGTTGTTAATTTTTCATTCTTGTCATAGTAATTTCTCATCAAATATAGTTAGCGTTTTTTTTTTATTTGATTATCATTTAATAAGTGTTAATTTCTTTGTTTCAGCACACATTAACCGGTCATTCTGGAAAAGTTATGGCCGCCAAGTTTTTAGGTGAATCTACGAAAGTCGTCAGCGGTAGTCATGATAGAACACTCAAAATTTGGGACTTACGAAGCAAAGCATGTAAGTTTCAAATCTTGTTTAGTAAATCATTTGACCCTAAGTAACTACCAATTTTTGTTTTTTGGTCTACTACATTTATTGCTACAGTCAAAGCCGTTTACTACGACATCGTTTAGAACAACATACCGGTTATATTGACCAAAATCATAGGTCCCGGCTTAATTCTGTTAGACCGCCTTATAAAAAACACTGGTTCTTACGACATTGCTTATTACGACATATCTCTTTAAGCGACTACATTTAACTGATATTTTCGGAGAATTATACCTGTTAGAACGACCAGCTGTATTGTAAACATTTGAATAGGTAACAGTATCCACATCTGGTACAGTAAATGACCATTAAGATCGCAAAAGTAAACAAAAACGTGTCGAGTTTAGGGTCTAGTGTAATTCTCAGAATATCTGCTACTGAAGCTAAGGAGTTTATTGATGTAGATAACTTTATTGCAATTTGTGCACCAGCTACGGAAGATGATATTGTACAAGAAGTTCAAGAGGAAAATGACGAACAGGAAGAGACTGAAGAACAATTTACAGTGCCAACTTTGAATGATGGTCTCAATGCTGTCAGTGTATTACGAAAAATTCTAATGAACAGTTTCAAATGCAGGGAAATTATGATGATACATTAATTAAAATTAAACGTGAACTACAAAGTCTGTACGCACGACAGAAGTGTTCCAAACAGACTAAAATTCCAGGTTTTATTAATATAGAAAAATGATAATTATATGTACGTAATGTCTTTTTATAATACGTTTTATGTAAAATAAATAAAATGTAGTTTTATTTTATATATGAATATATTAATCACACATTCAATAATAGGTTTTAAGTACTTAATAATAACCGTCACCGGCTATTACTACTATCGGTTTTTACGACCAAATATGAGTAGTGTAGTTCGGTGTCGTTATAACAGATTTTGACTGTATTTCTAACGAATTAAATCTAACTGTTCCTCTCTCATTGCAACGATATTCCTTCGTCGACCTAATAGAGATTCTATCTTGATATCGTAATCGGTGCAGCAGAGTTACCAAAATAAGCCATTTTTACTGAGGATTTGTTGACTTACCTCTCGAGAATTGTCAGCAGGCACATATCCCCAATGAATACATTTCGTCCTACCCAGACGTCTTTGTGCAATCTATAACTAGATCAGTTCGGTACGAACCGGAAGATTGACGAACGCATTTGAAAATTTCAGGCCCGAAATGGAATTCTATCTGTAAAACGACAGGCGATGTATACGTTATACATTATCCATTGGACAACTACAAATGCATAAAGCGTTGTTGTGAAAATCCGATTGTCCTAGCAGCTCGTTACCGAATCGCTTTTAGCTCTGTAAATAATGAGCTTCGTTTTTAAACCGTCAATCTAACAAATTTTAATTTACTTGAATCAAAATTACATCGGTAATTATAGATGTAGGAATATAGGGTGTAAAGGAAATAAATGCGGTGCTTGCAGGTACTACAAAACAAGGAAATTAAGTTGTTTGTATGTCCGAAAGTTTACCGTTTCCGCGAAAAACGTTTTTGAAAGTACAGATATATTTAATTCTCGCCCAATCAGCTTGCAAATACCAGCGTCAGTGTTGTACTTATTTTGTACTCTTTTGCTTATGTAGGTTTGTTAGATTAGATTAACTGTGATTCAGGGTATTTACAAGGGTGGATTGATAAGTTTCCGGCCTGACCAAGAAAAACAAGGTTTTTAAAAATTTTTTTTTTTTATTTCTCAACATAATCTCCTCCAAGGCTGATACATTTCTCATAGCGGTGTTCCAGTCTATTAATGCCATCTCTATAGACTGATTCGTCAAGCTCCTCAAAATAACCATTTACAGCTTCGATTACTT